AATAGTGCTCAGGCTACTGAATGAGGGGTGACCTGGAGGAGAGGCAAGAAAGAACCAAGAACTCAGTTATAAGACTATGACCTGGGCTATGAGAGAGATGTTAGGAATTTGGCTACTGAGGAAGTTCAGAGAAGGAGGGAACTAAATTGATTCAAAATACGTTTTGTAAGTAGATCCAAGCTTGTCTGTTTTTACTTCCAACAAATAAGAACTAAAGAAAAGTTTTCTCTAAATGAAACACTTTGTTGAAGTGAGCGAGCGTTAAGTTTCATTTGGAATATTCCTCATTCGCACGTTTTATTAGGTTACAAAAATACTCCCACAAATAATCAATTATACAATCAGAGCAAAAAGAGGTTGATCCTGGTCCACAGCGTTAAGTAAAATTTTTTAAAAGTTACATTTACCTACATTTACCCTACTGAAGTCTGGGCTGGAATCAGTATATGATAAAAATTGTGCAAAACTTTTCAAAGAAATAATTCCAGGAATCACAGAAGCATGGTGAGCCATGTTACATATCACCTAAAAGTAAACCGGACCAACAGTCTATTTACTAATTATTAAGGTACAGACGGTTGTTTACAAATGCACAATTATTACATTTTCTGACTTTTCTGGATGCCTTCAGGTAATGATTCTAATGGCAGAGGTATATGATTTCCATTACCTTGAATAATGGCTCCCTACTTTCACAGGCCATTTCAAGATGTGTGTATAATTTTGTTAATGGATGATTAATAAAGCTAATATCTCAATTCATGAATTTATAGACATTCGAAAACAATTAAATATCAAAAAACAGTAATGTCTGACATGTAAGATATGTTACATACACGTTTCCAGTCAAAACAAACAAAAGCCAGTGAAGGCTTGCCCGTGAAGGCAGAGTTTACTTAACATTCTCTACGTGACTGACAATAAAATTGCTGTAGACAATGAGCATTAGAAACATCATGGAAACCTCTGAAGACACTGCCCATTTCAATAAATATTCATTCTTATTACTTTGCTCTTCATGCCACGGTATAACATGGTTCAGTTTCCAGCAAAGAAAGAAATGGTTTCTTTGGCTTTTTAAGCCTGTGACATGTTACACGTCCTTTCCAACTCATATTTTAAGTATGACGCATTAATTGAAGCACAGTATGCCATATAATGAAGCTCCCTTTTAATGATTATGATTGTTATGGTTATAATTATTATTTTTATTTCAGTCTCTTGAGGAAGAGCCAGTTTCAAGTTAGGCTTACGTTTCCAGAGCCATCATCCAGAGAATAACAACATAACTATTCACCAGAAACCCCTGGAAAATCTTCCTCCTTTCCTTTATCTAAACATAAATGAAACAGCAAGTGAAAGTACTGCTTAGTATGGAAGGCACTGTGCAAATGACCCCCTTGCCCCCGCAGGAGTAAACTCCAGACCACCTTCCTACCACCATGTAAATGTGGCCCCACTCCAGGGTTTTTTATTACTTGCTGAGGTCCTCAATCTTCCAAAGAAAGAAAAGTGTTGGCTTAACAGAGTTAAAAGACAACCTACAGAGTGGGAGAAAATATTTGCAAACTATACATCCCACGGGGGATTAATATCCAGAATATACGAGGAATTCAAAGGACTTCACAGTAAAAAACAAAGAATACAATTTAAAAAATTGGTGAAAGAGCTGAATAGACATTTTTCACAGGAAGACATACAAATGGCCAACAGGTGCTAAAAAAAATGTTCAACATCACTAATCATCAGGGAAATGCAAACTAAAACCACACTGAGACATCATGTCACCCAAGATAGATTGGCTATTATCAAAAAGACAGGGAATAACAAATGCTGGCAACGTTATGGAGAGAGGGAACTACACTGCTGATGGGACCGTAAATTAGTGCTGCCACTATGGAAAATGGTATGGAGGTTTCTCAAACAACTACAGAAAGATCTACTATATGATCCAGCAACCCCACTTCTAGGTATATACCCAAGGAATGGAAATCATCATGATGAAGGGATATCTGCACTCCCATGTTCATCACAGTTCTGTTTACAGTAGCCAAGATATGGAACCAACCTTAAGCGTCCATAGATGGATGGTTGAACAAGGAAAATGTGGTATATACACACTATATACTACTCAGCCATAAAAAAGAATGAAATTCTCCCATTCTCAGCAACATGGATGAGCTTGGAGAAAATTATGTTAAGTGAAATAAGCCCGGCACAAAAAGAGAAAGGAAAAAATTGGAAGTTTATTTAGTTTTTCTCTTCTTCCCTGCCCCAAAGTTTAGAATGTTATTCATAAAGACTTGCTTTCCTCACATAATTTTTTAAATAGCTTTCTTTTTTAGTTATAAAATCAGTGTATTCTCGTTACAAAACAAAAATCAGAAAATATATAAAGGTGTCATAAAGCAAAATAAAATACATCTATAGTTTCCTAATTCAAAAAATAAGCTGTAGTATATTACGGTGGTTCCTTCTAGTCTTTGCCAATGTTCATGTATTTCTTTTCACGATGCTATAAGAAAAAAGAACCAATATGAGGGTACTTCAAAAAGTTCATGGAAAGATTTGTATTATCTTTTAATTTTATCTTTCCACAAACTTTTTAAGTACCCTCGTATATGTGCATATAAACCCAAAACTCTCACCACGTTTAACCAAATTCAGACACTATATTTGGAAAGGTAACCAACATTTAGGGCACTGAATTCTGCATGCAAATCACTAATAAATTCAATAATGCTCATCCTAGCTTCTACCCACTAGCATTAGCTAACTAGTATAGGCTCAGAGAAACAGCTTCCTAGTTCAGAAAAGACTTTGTTTTATGTATCGGTCTTTCCATATTGGGAAGAATTAAGTAGTAGTTCACTTTCTAATTCTTATCAAAAAGTGTGTAAAATATGATTTATGGAATTGAGAGGGAACTCTACAACTAACATCAAATCTGATCTTCTTAAATTTTTCTTCCAAGTGAAAGAAGAGTTTTAAGATTCACTAATTATTTCTCTGTCAGAATCAACACCCACCAGATTTGTCACAAATACTTTTTAAGGTATTTTCATCAGGGATCAGGAAAATTTTTTTCTGTTAAGAATAAGATAGCAAATATTTTTGGCTTTGTAGACATACAGCCTCTGCCCAACTACTCAGCTCTGCTCAACTCTGCCACTGGAGCACAAAGGCAGCCATTCACATTGCATAAACAAATGGACATGGCTATGTTTCAATAAAACTTTATTCACAAAAACTTTTATAAATAAAAGGCTTTTCTGGAGTATGCCACTAAACTATACACTTAAAAACTTAATATAGGGCCGACCCTGTGGCTCACTCAGGAGAGTGCAGCAAGCGCCGAGGCCGCGGGTTCGGATCCTATATAGGGATGGCCAGTTGCAATCCCCTTACCAGTCACAAAAAAAAAAAAAAAAAAAAAAAAAAAATTAATATAGTACATTTTACATTACGTATATTTTACCACAACTTAAAAAGAAACAAAAATAAATTTTGCCTACAAGGTGTTTTTCCCAACTCCTAGACTACAAAATCCTTTCTGCTTGCAATATCCTGTGATTAAATGGGTTTTCTGAAACTAAAAACCTTAAAACTTGATGCATAAATACTTGCAGAAATAAAATTGCTCCTATACAAGCCTTTTTTTTTAATATTCTGGAACCTTAAAAAGTGTTTTTAACTCTAATCTTATAAGGAAACTGACGACAGTGGTGTTGGTTTCCCTCCATCTTATAACCTGGATTAGAGTGCAAATGTTTAGGCTTGTATTAGTATGCAGCAGCAAGCAGGCTGACTGTTCTGGGGGAAACATCTTGAGTAACTAAAAGAGCACAATCATAGCCTACCTTACTAAGCAATCTACTCTTTTTATTAAAAAAAAAGTTATAAATAAAAAGAAATACAATAGGAAAGATGTCATCTGAGTATGATCAAAGATCTGATTTTGGGCCAGCCCGGTGGCGCACTGCTACAGTGCGCCGCTTGGGAAGCGCGGCGGCGCNGTTATAAATAAAAAGAAATACAATAGGAAAGATGTCATCTGAGTATGATCAAAGATCTGACTTTGGGCCAGCCCGGTGGCGCACTGCTACAGTGCGCCGCTTGGGAAGCGCGGCGGCGCTCCCGCCGAGGGTTCGGATCCCACATACAGACCGGCCACTCACTGTCTGAGCGAGGTGTGGGAGCAACACCGAGGGTTGCGATCCCGTTGCCGGTCCGGTCCGGTACAGGCGCGACACTGAGGGTTGCCATCCATTGCCGGTCACGAAAAAAGACAAAAAAAGGAAAAAAAAAAAAAAAGATCTGATTTTGCAATGATTATTTATGTATCTCAAATATCCAAGGCACTACATAACTGTTTACACCAGTTTTATTTCTAGTTATATTTATTCAAAACCTGCACTTAATAGTTACTTGATGGGATTTTTTCCTTCTTTGCATTCGTAGTCGCTTTTGATAAAATATATTATTGCTTAACCACATTTTGCTTAATGTTGAATCTACGCACACATACTCAGGCTGAAAATAAACGCTCTTCCATGAGTTAGATTTTGGGAGATTTTGTATGTTTTGTTTTGCTTTTCAGTTTCAATTGTAACCACAGGAAGACAACTAGATTCTTTTTCAGTGTGGTCAGGGCTAGCTTTTGCACTTCTACATCATGATTAATTTGTTATTCATCTGGTACCTTCCCATTAAACTTTGTCTTTAGCTTGTGAACTTTTCTTTCAGCTTCCAACAAAGGATTTCATTGCTTTGGGAACTGAGGCGTGTCTAAGTTTCTACCTGGGAGCAAAAGTGATGCAAGCGTTTCTGGTGAGACCAATCCTTGGTTTAGGGTGGGGAGGAACCACATAACAGGCCATCTGTAGACTCCTGCGGAAAGAGACGCTGCTGAAGGGCTTTTCTTAGACATCATACACAAGCCGCTGAGGGGACAGAAGCAGCGGCTCTCCTGGATTTGTTCACCAGGGAAATCAGACACAATGACTTGGCTCTTTCCCAGAACCACAGGGGCTCTGGCCATTTTAATGGTAAGTCCTGTATTTTCTAATAATCACAAACTTTCTCTGTTTTCTTCCTTGTTACTGAATATTATATTTAATTGCTAAATCCCTATTATAAATTCAAAGGGTAGAATGGAAATAAACATTGAAAAATGAGATGGTAAAGATTACCAATTTCCTCCTTTTTTTTAATGTTGTATTTTACATAGAAAAATAAATCAGAAAGAAATAAATCCTAAAGTAACCATTTAGCATTTCTTTAGTTAGCGAATTTAGTAACCCTAATCCCAGATTGTTTTTCACATCGTCTTTATTTTCTTCAAAGTTATGCTTTTATTCATTTTTCTAACACTAAAAATGCATAAAAGAGAGCCACTTCTATTTTCCAAGATTACATGTCTCTTAAGCATACAGCTAAGATCTCTACGTGCCTGGTCTTGATACCTAACATGTTTTTAAAATAGTCAAAGACCGTTGAATTAAATCAAAGCAGTGTTTGACTTTGGAGAAGTTGGAGGATTATTAAGAAAACAGTATTCATCTTTAGCCATTATGTGCAGAAAAAAATATATATATCCAGTATTGGGGGGAAAAAAGACATACAGTATTTTATAAGCCATTTTTTCAGGAGAGTGATACTTCTGTTGATTGGGAAAGTTTTATACAGTATTACCTAAAAGAGAAGTCAAATCTGAAGAGCAAAGCACTGGCCTGGAGGTTACTGACTAGTTTATTCTTTAACTTTGTCGTTATTGTGAACAAAAACTATGTCACAATATTACCAGTTACATGAAGATAAAAATTAAAGCTGTCTAATGTTAGATTAGGCTTCCTTGTGAGCTAGAATCTCCTAGCCTTCCATCTCAAGACAATGTTCAAACAGAAAATGAGTATCATCCGGTCCTAAGATTATGTTTCTGTTATGATAATGTAACTAACTGTTTTGGTTATTTAATGAATTTATTTGAAATAAAAATTTTGTAAAGTGAAATATGATAGCTGTATGACTTTCTGATCTTTCCAGATGGAAAATTTCTGGGCTAAACTGCAGGTAGACTGAAAACCCCTATGTCCAAGCCAATAGCCAAGCTTAGAAGACTAGGGGATGCACAGCAAGTGGTATCAGAATAGTGTTGCCATGAGGACATAGAATTGGACCACAGCAAGCTTTGGGGAGCTCTTTTCCCGCTTTGACTTACAGACCAGTCTCAATTATCCCTCTGATTTTAAAGTGACTGTAGTATTCTTATACTGAGGGCTATTTTTTCATCTCTGTATCCTTACTGCCTACTATAATATCTGTCTTACAGTGGACACCCAACTGTTTGAAAAATAAATAGATGAGTGGTTGGATGAAGCATCTCTAAACTATAAAACCCCCACACAGCCCCTGTAATGCTAGTTATGAAGGAAACTATGACATATCAGACATTTCACTCCACTCAAGGAAATTTTACACACACACAACTATTTAAACAATATAATTTCATACATAATTGTTAAACTAAGTGGTCTAGGCCTCTTCTGTCCAATGTGGTAGCCACTAGCCACATATGGCTATTACCACTTGAAATGTGACTGGCTGAATTGAGATGTGCTAAGTGTAAAATATGCATATTTTGAAGTCTTAGTATCAACAAAAGAAAGAAAATATGTCATTAATAATTTTTATGTTAAGCACATGTTGAAATGATAGTATTTTAGATATGTTAGATTAAATTAAATATATCATTAAAATTAATTTTAACTTTTTTCAACTTTTTTAATGTTACTAATGGAAAATTTTAAATTATATATGTGGCTCCCATTTGTGGTTTTTACTGTATTTCTGTTGGACAGTGCTGGTCTACTATTAATGCTATTAGTGGAAGGCAGTATCAGTCAGGAAGGAGTAAGGGAGGCAAACAGGCTTCATGGATTTTGTGAGACTTGAGCTGCTTTTTATTAAGAATGGATGGGCCAAAGGAGGATATCAGACCAGCATAAGCACCAGCAGGCACAGTCATGGCATTTCCTTAGGGGCAAATGATACACCAGTTTGATCGGAATGATTGTTTACATTGGAGACACTCAACATGAGTTGGAAAGGCAGGTGAGGGTCAGATTGCAAAGTGCATTCTGTGAAGGCTCATGTAATCCCTTTAGAAATGGGATGCCACTATTTGAAATAGTGTGGTTATTCAGGGAAAGCAATGTTTTTAAAAGCATTGTCAAGTGGGAATGCACATCTTTTGTTGTTGAAGGGTGGGGTCTGAAAGTTGGAAAACGTGTTTGGAGGTTTTGAAATAATTCCATCACCCAATGACCATACAAGGCCTGCCTAGAGAGGTGAGACATAATGGCAAAATCATGGGTTTGAGTCCATAGTTGTACCACTGACTCACTCCAGGACTTGCTTTCTCAATTGTCAAATAGAAATAGTCATACCCCACCCTCCACCTAATTAAAATGGCCATAGTGAGAATAAAGCAGCAACGTGTGTGAAAAAAAAAGTGCCTTGAGAAATTTAAAGTGCTTTGTAATACTCTAAATTTTATCATTTGTAATATTTTGGTAGTAACAATGATCCTTGATAACTTCTTAATATTGCGCCCTCCTATCTTAAATAACCACCAACACCAATTCTTTAAAAATTGACAGATCTTTCATGTACAACATGATGTCTTAAAGTACATATATACATTGCAAAATGGTTAAATCTAGCTAATAAGAACCTACATTTTTCTTGAGCTAAAGAGCACAGCAAAAACTGTTGTGAAGGCTAATTTTAGGCTAAATGGCCCAAATTTTTAACAAAAGGAAAATCTTTGAGTTATCCTTTTTTCTCTTGATTGATCCAGTTTCCAGTGTTAATAAGTATAGAAAAGTAAATTTCCTAGCGAACCTTTCCAAAAATTAACATTCTAAAATGAGAATAACCTTGCCAAGTGATTCTGCCCAGCCCTGCCTGACTTGGGCAGAAGTTAGGAAAGATGTAATTACTTCTACCAATTAGCATTCCCACTTGCTTAATACCTAAAACCGGTTTTCACCTGAAGCTGAAACACTCAGTACCCATAAGATTTCCCATAAATCTGTTAGCCTTTGGCTCTTCCTTTCCAGTTAAGAGTCAATATGATAGCCTAAGGTGAGGGCTTGCTTTGAGAAGTTCATCACGAGAAAATTATATAGACAATTGGTTACTAACCATAATCATACAATGAATGATTGAATCAGTCTAACACACATTTTTCCTGCAGGGCCCTGTACGGCTGGCCAGGCTGTTCACTGCACAACTTCAGGACATGCATTCATGTAAACTACAGTGTAAACAATGCCCCCTAGACTTGTGCAAGGAGCAAACTACACAATCGTACAGTGGAATACTGTTTCTTTTCTCTTTCTGATGCCCAAGAAAGAGAAAGTTTTTATGTTCTTTGACAGTGAATAATAATAATAGAAGATCATTTTATATCAGTCAAAGTGGCTCTTTTATACCTATTTTTAAAGTTTGGTGACAGAAGTGACTACTTTTTATTAAGTGTTAGTACAATAAAATTAGCTTACTGTGCGCTAGGGCTCATCTATGCGCTTTATGCCTATTTATTAATTTAATCCTCACAGTAAATCTATAAGATAAGCAAAATTATTTTCCCTACTTTACAGATGAGGAAACAGAATGAATAAGCAATGTTCCCAAGTTATGTGCTGGTACATAGTTGGGACTGGGATTTAAATTTAGGGATTCAGAATCCAGTGTCCAACTTTATATACTACACTTGCCTGCATTCTACACAGCATTTGAAATGAAAATTTAAGAATATTCAAGGGTATTTGTATTTCTTAGCATTTCTATTAAAATACAAGGTTTAACTCTATACTGTTTATTCTAAAAATCAGTTATTGAAAACTGTCCCAAATTAAATAATAATGCCCAAGTAATTAGACATATATTATTTTTCTTCCATTAAGGAATTTGCCTTGATAAATACAAAGTTTATTACAATGTTGGGGGCTTTTTTTAAGTTCAAAATTCAATATCTAGAGAAAACCATGGGATATTATGAAAGATAAATCACTCATTTTTTCTGAATTGTATAGATGTAATTTATTCTTCAAACATATATTGAATGACCTCTGTGATCTGACACTTACCAATTATAAGAACAATATCACCAACGTGTATATATTTCATGACATTTTCCCTCCCAATATTAATAAAGACAAAACCATTTTAAAATTCATCATGATTTATTTAAATTACCTAATTCATTCTACAAATTTCCCAGAGCACAATGGGCGTGACCCACTCTCATCCCATTCTAAAGATGAGAAGGGTGGCTGTGCCTGTGCCCACTGGGACAAGCTCTCTGTGTCCAATCCACAGTCTAATGCTCTGTCCCTTCCCACATGAGAGTTTAAGGTAACACTTAACAAAATCTTGGCTAAATTAAGTAAAATAGCAGGTGTTATTACGAATGGTTTTTAAAAATCTAACAACCCATATCCTCAAGTTATAATTATTGTGTATCTATTATATTCAGTAAAAGTACCCTTAATGATACAACTATGTACATTTTTATTAACAAATAGGGCAAGCTGGAAAAAAAAATAGGGCAAGTTCAATGTCAGATTACTTGATTTCACATGCTTTCTGTTAATTTAATTATGATTATTTTTAATAAAATATTTATAATTCCTGTTTATACCAAGGCATTTAGGCTATATCAATGCATTAAAAATTATAATCAAAATTTTAAAAATAGGTAAATGCAAATTAAAACCACATTGAGATACCACCTCACTCCAGTTAGACTGGCTATGATCAAAAAGACGGTGAATAACAAATGCTGGCGAGGGTGTGGAGAGAAGGGAACATTACTGCACTGTTGGTGGGACTGTAAATTAGTACAACCACTATAGAAAACAGTATGGAGGTTTCTCAAACTACAGATAGATCTTCCACACGATCCAGCAATCCCTCTTCTGGGTATATACCCAGAGGAATGGAAATCATCATGTTGAAGAGATACCTGCAGTCCCATGTTCATCGCAGCTCTGTTTACAATAGCCAAGATATGGCACCAACCTAAATGTCCATCAATGGATGATTGGATAAGGAAACTGTGGTATATACACACTATGGAATACTACTCTGCCATAAAAAAGAATGAACTACTCCCATTTGCAACAACACGGATGAACCTGGAGAAACTTACATTGAGTGAAATAAGCAAAGTACAGAGAGATAAATACCACATGTGCTCACTCATATGTGGGAGTTAAGAGAGAAAGAAGGAAGGAAAGAAAGACCACAGTGGTGCCGTGGTCTTACAGAGGGAGGGAACATTCCTAGGGCTACAAAATGGAGTTGGGGCAGAGAGGGGAGGGAGAAGGAAGCTGGGGGATAACTGGGTGAGAACAAGGGGTACAAAAGTAATTTCTGGTGATAGGTATGCCCCCAGTATGAATCTGGCCCTCACATCATCGGCAGGAGGGGTGACAATTAGCTTTGTATCTCATGAATATTCTTAATAAATTAAAAAATAAAGACACATCCTTTACATAACAACAACAACAAAAATAGTAATAATTTAAAAACAACCAGGAAACAAGAAGAAGGAAGAAAAGTACAAAAATTTTCAAGATAATGGACATTTTTTCCACATTGGCATTTCCAACTCGGGCCATCAAAAAAGATAAAATGGTTGATTCAAACAGTCAGAAAACTATTTAAATATTTATTAGCTTGATTTAGCCATTCTACAAAGTATACATATTTTCAAACATGTTTTATATGATAAATATATGTGTTTTACTTATCTATTAAATAAATAAATAAAATTGTTTAAAGAATATTCAAAATAATTATATTAGCAAACTAATCAAAATGGGCAGCCATTACATAAGTATTAAAATAACTATAGTTTTTTT